TCAGACTATTCCAAAAAATTCAAGAGGAAGGAACACTTTCAAGCTCGTTCTATGAAGCCAGCATCACCCTAATACCAAAACCAGACAAAGACAACACAATGAAAGAGAATTACAGGCCAATATCCCTCATGAACATAGATGCCAAAATCCTCAACAAAATCTTAGCAAATCGGATCCAGTAGTACATCAGAAAGATCATACACCATGACCAAGTAGGATTTATCCCAGGGATGCAAGGATGGTACAATATCCGCAAATCAATAAACGTGATACATCACATAAACAAATTGAAAGAAAAAAACCACATAGTCATATCAATTGATGCAGAAAAAGCATTTGACAAAATCCAACACCCATTTTTGATAAAAACTCTCAGCAAGGTGGGAATAGAAGGATCATACCTCAACATAATAAAAGCCATATATGACAAGCCCACAGCCAACATCATACTCAATGGACAAAAACTAACACCATTTCCCCTAAGAACAGGAACAAGACAGGGATGCCCACTCTCACCACTCCTGTTCGGCATAGTACTGGATTTATTAGCCATTGCAATTAGACAAGAAGAAGAAATAAAAGGCATCCAAATTGGAAAAGAAGTAAAATTGTCCTTATTTGCAGATGACATGACGTTATACATAAAAAACCCTAAAGACTCCATCAAAAAACTATTAGACTTAATAAATGAATTTGGCAATGAAGCAGGATACAAAATTAATGCCAAGAAATCTATGGCATTTCTATACATCAATTATGAACTTACAGAAAGAGAGACTAAAAAAACAATCCCATTTACCATCGCACCAAAAAAATTAAAATACCTAGGAATAAACTTAACTAAAGAGGTAAAAGACCTCTACTCAGAAAACTACAGGACGTTGAAAAAAGAGATAGAGTAAGACATAAAGAGATGGAAGAACATACCATGTTCTTGGATTGGTAGACTCAACATCATTAAAATGTCTACACTACCCAAAGCAATCTATAAATTCAACGCACTTCCCATTAAAATACCAACGGCATATTTCACAGATCTAGAACGAACTCTCCAAAAATTCATCTGGAATAAAAAAAGACCCCAAATAGCTGCAGCGATCCTGAGAAAGAACAAAGTAGGTGGGATCTCAATACCAGATATCAAGCTGTATTACAAAGCCACTGTTCTCAAAACTGCCTGGTACTGGCACAAGAACAGACATATAGGTCAATGGAATAGAATAGAGAGCCCAGAAATCGGCCCGAACCAATATGCTCAATTAATATTTGACAAAGGAGGCAAGAACATACAATGGAGTCAAGATAGTCTCTTCAATAAATGGTGTTGGGAAAATTGGACAGATACATGCAAAAAAATGAAACTAGACCACCAACTTACACCATACACAAAAATAAACTCAAAATGGATAAAGGACTTAAATGTACGATGGGAAACCATAAAAATACTAGAAGAATCCAAACGCAACAAAATCTCAGACATATGCCGAAGCAATTTCTTCACCGATACAGCTCCTAGGGCATTGGAAACTAAAGAGAAAATAAACAAATGGGACTACATCAAAATAAAAAGCTTCTGCACAGCAAAAGAAACCAGCAACAAAACAACAAGAAAGCCCACTGCATGGGAGAACACGTTTGCCAATGTTATCCACCAATAAGGGTTTAATCTCCAACATTTATAGGGAACTCATACAACTTAACAAAAGGAAGATAAACAATCCAATCAAAAAATGGGCAAAGGACTTAAATAGACACTTTTCAAAAGAGGACATTCAGAAAGCCAAGAGACATATGAAAACATGCTCAAAGTCACTAATTATCCGAGAGATGCAAATCAAAACAACAATGAGGTACCATCTCACACCTGTCAGAATGGCTATCATCAACAAATCAACAAATGACAAGTGCTGGAGAGGATGTGGAGAAAAAGGAACACTTGTGCACTGCTGGTGGGAATGCAGACTGGTGCAGCCACTATGGAAGACAGTATGGAGTTTCCTCAAAAAACTAAAGATGGAACTCCCATTTGACCCCGTGATTACACTTCTAGGAATATATCCCAAAAAAACAGAAACACCAATCAGAAAGGATATATGCACCCCTATGTTCATAGCAGCACAATTCACCATAGCTGGAAACAGCCTAAGTGCCCATCAGTAGATGAATGGATTAGAAAACTGTGGTACATCTACATGATGGAATACTATGCTGCTGTAAAAAAGAAGGAATTCTTGCCATTTGCAACAGCATGGATGGGACTGGAGAGCATTATGCTAAGTGAAATAAGCCAGTCAATGAAGGAAAAATACCACATGATCTCACTCATTTATGGATAATAAAGACCATTATAAACTTATGAACAAAAATAAATACAGAGGCAGAGCAGCCTCGAACAGACTGTCAAACTACAGTGGGAAGGCCGGGGAGAGTTGGGGGGCGGGGGTAAGAGATCAACCAAAGGACTTGTATGCATGCATATAAGCATAACCAATGGACATAAGACACTGGGGGGTAGGGGAGGCCAGGGGATTGTCAAGGGCGGGGGGAAAAAGGAGACATATGTAATACTCTTTGTAATACTTTAAGCAATAAAACAATTAAACAAAATAAAATAAAATAAAATAAAAGACAGATTGGAGAGTCTAACTGCTAGGCAATATCTTATTCCCTTCCTTTATATGAACAACCTTTATTCATACCTCTTCTATAGCAATTACCACTCATCAGTCACTACAGTAACTACTGACATGTTTTCTTCCCAGGTTAAAGTGCAAATTTCTCAATATGAACATCAGGTCATGTTTTGTATTCCAAACTTCCGGTACAATGTCTAGTTTCTGCCAGAAGCTAATTCCAGCATGTCATAAATACAAGAAGTTTCATCAAAATGTTGATGGAACTTAGGGATTCAGCAGGGCTGAATCTGCTGGAGATGGCTAAGGGCATTTCCCCACACCTAAAGATTTGCATAGATGATTGCTTGCTGCCAGACAGCTGAGGGCATTTCAATTTACGTTATTGCATCCTACTGGCCAAACACCTGAACAGCGGAAGGCAGTTACCCCAATATGACAATGGATTCTGTATACTAAGCGTTGGCCTTTGATATGTATATCTACCTTGCCTTAGGGCAAATTGTGTTTTATTAACACAATTTTATTAGAGCAAGGGGTCCGGAGATTCAGGAGAACTTGGTTCCTTTGGCTAAGTCGTCTCTGGCTCCCCAAAATGCCTTCCAAAATTATGTTTCGTCTCTAGACTCTAATCATTTACAGCAGCCCCTTCTCCAGATTCCTGAACCCCTTCTAGATGCTGGATTAAGACCCCTGGCAGTTTCCAACAATGTACCTCAAAATGCCATATGAATAAATTCAACATGATAAATTGTTTAAAAATCAGAAAACAAAAAGCAGGAGTATACATCTATAATATCAGGCAAGATTTAGATGTGTGATTTCCTGAGAACAAAAAAAATTTTAATCTACAGAAAAGGAAAACAAAACAAAAAAAATTAGACAAATAAAAAAGGAAAGTCATACACTAAATTATTTGAGATTACCTTTACCTTCCAAGTGGAAGAAAAAAAAATGAAACAATAAAAATAAATAAATCTATATATATATAAGGATAAGTGACCGACTGTATGTCCATCCGACCGGTACATATGACACGCACTGGAAATCTATATATATATATGGCTAAGGGACCGACTGTATGCATGCACATACGTATGTCCGACTGACCAACCGGCGGGTACATATGACATGCACTGGCAATTTAAAAATAAACACTGACTCGCACATGCGTGATACATATACAGCTCTCGCTGGCACCAGTTGCACGCGTGTTTTTCCATCTGTCATTGTCGATATGTGAATTTGGTTGTTTTTGTTGAAATGATTTGTAATGGATCTATTATTGAAGCTACCTTTGAAAATAATATATCTATAGATAATATTAAAAATATATCTAAACGTGTGATTCTTTGTCCAAAAAATGAGCATGTTCATAAATTAAATGAAGAAATTTTGGATAGACTCGATGGAGATTTTCACACTTATTTGAGTGATGATTCCAGCGATTCAACAGATGATGCTGAAAAGGAAAATTTTCCCATCGAATTTCTTAATAGTATTACTCCTTCGGGAATGCTGTGTCATAAATTAAAATTGAAAGTAGGTGCAATCATGCTACTGAGAAATCTTAATAGCAAAAGGGGTCTTTGTAATGGTACTAGATTTATTATCAAAAGGTTGCGACCTAACATAATCAAAGCTGAAGTATTAACAGGATCTGCAGAGGGAGAGGTTGTTCTGATTCCAAGAATTGATTTGTCCCCATCTGACACTGGCTTCCCATTTAATTCGAAGACAGTTTCCCGTGATGCCAGCATTTGCGATGACTATTAATAAATCACAAGGACAAACTCTAGACAAAGTAGGAATATTCCTACCTGGACCCATTTTCAGACATGGTCAGCTATATGTTGCTTTCTCTTGAGTTCAAAGAGCGTGTGACATTAAAGTTGTAAATATTTCATCACACGGGAAATTAGTCAAGCACTCTAAAAGTGTTTTTACTCTTAATGTGGTATACAGGGAGATATTAGAATAAGTTTAATTAATTTATCAGTCATTGTTTTTATCACTTGTTTTTATATCATGTTTTTGTTTTTATATCATTTTTTGTTTTTATATCATGTCTTTGTTGTTATATCATGTTGTGATTATTTATTAATCAATTTATATATTATTTTCATATACATTTTACTAATTTTCTTTCATGTCTGACACTTCTATTATAGACAAAGAGCGAATAGTGATATTACAATATCTCTTCTAATTAATTTCCTTTCAATGTGCACGAATCTGTGCACCAGGCCACTAGTAAAAGTTTGAAAACAGAAAATTAAGAATGTCTTATTACTTAGATCATGGCTCTTTTCAAATTGACAAATCTATTGATTACAAATATTGAGACATGTACAATAATAGTCTTACCTCCTTAATTAGAAGCTTAAAAACAGAAGGCACTTTCACAGAAATTTCATTTATTCCATAAAGCAATTTTCTATGACAAGAAAATATAATAGTAGTATTATATTACATTACATAATAATAGTGTAATTTTGGGAAGTTACTTCATTACATAAAGCTCAAACCACAGATTGCTCCTAAATCTAGAACTTACACATTCATGTTTCTATATACTTGTCTTGTACAATTCAAATTCTCTACCTTTATTATTTAAATTAAGTAGTTAATACAGGATAACTATACAGCTATCATTTTGATTCATTCTATCTCATATCTTTTTGTGTGACAAATATCTTTCCAACTAGTCTATAATAATTATGTCAGCAAAGGTTTTCTTTTCCATTCTTGAACACAATAGGTCTGAACAATTTTGAATTGCAATTAATTTTTGCAAAAGCTTAAATAAATAAATTTAAGAGACCTGGTACTATTTTTCTAATAAGAATATTGTACTTTGCCCTAGTTGGTTTGGCTCAGTGGATAGAGCATTGGTCTGTGGACTGAAGAGTTCCGGGTTTGATTCCAACCAAGGGCACATGCCAGAGTTAATGGCTCGTCCCCAGTGGGGGGCATGCAGGAGGCAGCCGATCAATGATTCTCTCTCATCATTGATGTTCCTATCTCCCTCTCCCTTCTTCTCTGAAATCAATAAAAATATATCTAAAAAAAAAATTAAATATATATATAAAACATGTCCCAAAATATAAAGCATGTCCCAAAATTCACGCAAGAAGTAATTTTGATAGAAAACACAGGTTTATAATTAAAAACTGTAAATTTTTTATTGATTCATAAAGTATACAGTATAGGGTTATGTATGGAATAGCATATCGGGTAAATGGCCTCCACGGCTCTGTTGGCACATATGCACTCTTTTGTTGAAATTTTCCATGACCGTTTTGCATAAATGTGGCTAAATTTCGATGAGGCTCATTTTCATCTTGATGGCTTGGTTAATCGACAAAACTGTCGCATTTGGGGTTCAGAAAATCCACGAGTGATTGTTGAGAAACAAATGCATCCACAGTGTGTCACTGTTTGGTGCGGATTTTGGGCTGGAGGCATCATCAGACCATTCTTCTTCGAAAATGCGGCTGCTCAGGCAATAACAAAAGAGTGTGTATGTGCCAGCAAAGCCGTGGAGGCCACTTACCCGATATGCTATTCCATACATAACCCTATACTGTATACTTTATGAATCAATAAAAAATTTACAATTTTTAATTATAAACCTGTGTTTTCTATCAAAATTACTTCTTGCGTGAATTTTGGGACACCTTTTATATATATTGTACTAAGCCCTAACCAATTCTGCTCAGTGGTTAGAGCATCGGCCTGCCCACTGAAAGGTCTCGGGTTCAATTCCAGTCAAGGGCACGTACCTCAGTTGCAGGCTTGATCTCCAGCCCTCGTTGGGGTGTGTGCAGGAGGCAACCAGTCAATGTGTCTCTCACATCAATGTTTCTCTCTCTCTGCCTCTCCCCCTCTCTTTCATTCACCCTTAAAAAAAAAATCAATGGGAAAAATATCCTCAGGTGAGGATTAACAAAACAAAATAAATAAAAGAATACTGTAGCCCAGCTGTCGTGGCTCAGTGGTTGAGCATTGACCTATGAACCAGGAGGTCACGGTTCCATTCCCAGTCAGGGCACATGCCTGGATTCCGGGCTCAATCCCTAGTGTGAGGCATACAGGAGGCAGTCAATCAATGATTCTCTTTCATCATTGACGTTTCTAACTCTCTCTCCCTCTCCCTTCCTCTCTGAAATCTATCTATCTATATAATATTCATTTCAAAACATTGTACACTTGACATTTTTTTAAAAATACTTTTAAAAAGTAGCTTGGCCCTGGCCAGTGTTACTCAGTGGTTAGAGCATCACTGGCCCAGTCAAGGGCTTGCACTTGGGTTGCAGATTCAATCCCCAGCCCATCCAGGCTGATATGTTTCTCTTATCTCTCTCTCTCTCTCTCTCTCTCTCTCTCTCTCTTCCTCCTCCTCCTCCTCTCTCTCTTTGCCCCCCCCCCAAAAAATCAATGGGAAAAATATCCTCTCGTGAGGATTAACAACAAAAAAGAAAAGCTGCTTAAATCCTTCTGCTTAAATTTCTTATCATAGTGCTTCCTATATGACAGAGTAATTCTGGCCTTTTAAGAAGTATAAGTCTAAACGAAGAGACTCTTTTACTAGTATATTCTAACACTTTGAAAAGATATGCTACAGGCATATAAGAAAATTTCTAATTTGAAAATGGCACTTATCTTTAAATATGCAATACATCAATATAATTTTATACTTTAGCAGATAATAACATGATAAAAAAGATTGTCTCCCAATTTACAAGTTTTCACTGTAGTAAATTTGAGCTCATGCTTATAATTCCCTATAGCAGTAAAATCCAAGATGTTGTCAATTATAAGATATACCCATTATTGTATGTTCAATTAAGAAAGATAAAGGATGACTCTCCATCCACTGTATAACACATTCCCCTTTTAGAAATGTTAAAATGTGGGGAAATGTATACCTTAGAATTGAGGAAATATGGTATATTTTCAGGGATATCAACTTAATAGTAACAGCTCCAATATTTTTATAATTCTTAAACTGAGAGATAGCCATACCCAAATAAAACATCAATAAGTTGTCAAGTACTATGTCTATAATATTTAAATATCTGTTAATATGTACAACTATATGGTGAAAGGGTGAACTATACATACTACTGTATTTAGGAATTTTGATAATAGATCTGACTTTAGTTGGATAAAAATTACCTGTAGGCATGCATCCCCTTTGTCAGTCCTGCACTATGCTTTTCATAAATTGACGTACAAGAAACACCTTCATCCAGTCCCCTAAATAAATCCAAAGTTTTTACTTTAAACAAAGTTTAAAATATCCAAATGTCTTAATGCCTCATTTGTCTATATTCTGATTTTAAAGTGTGACTTCCTTACAAACAGAAATCCTTAACAAAAAATGAGATAATGAATGGGAATTTTAAAATCTAAAATGCCCAAGATAAACAATAGTGAAAGTTCTAAGTCTCAAAAGTGGCAACTTCTAAGTTATACAAATCTATCTATCACATGATAAGATGGCTTTAAATACTCATGTTTATATAATACTATTATCCTTTAAGGCTGTGCACCAAAGCTGTAAGAGCTAATAACTAAACTAATAAAATTAAAGGTAGAGTATGATAGTTTGAGAATTCCAAACTAAAAATAAAAAAATGTTTTACTTTTTATTTAGTTCCCCCTCTTTAATTCTTTAAGCTTCACAGTAAGAAATCCTATTCATTTATTTTCTTTCTATAAAAGCATTCACCAAAATCCTTCCCTGATTTAATACATAGAGAGTACAGAATTTATGAGTCACGGGCAATGTCTAAAATCTGTAACAATTCTAATTGGAATTCAATTAACCTATCTACTTTCTCTCCAAAAATGTCTTAATTATACTGAGATTCTAGAATTAACTGAGATACTAGTAATAGAACTCTGAAGAGAATCTTATACATCATTTAACTCCAATCCTTTTCCACTTTTGTCAGATAGGAAAATTAAGCTCCCTAAGTAACTGTTATCATAAATTCTACAAGTTTTTATGGTTGGCAAATGCTGCACAGCAATATGTTTGATGCTTTTTTCCCACTGAAGTTGATGACTTCTCCAAAGGCAGCAGCAATCAGCTCCAAGTCAATTTTTTTAAAAAACCAAACACCAGCTCATTTGCAGTATTCTGTAAGGCAATGGTTCTTAACTAGGAATGGTCTTCACAACTAGGCATGTGGAAATGCCCTGGTCCATTCCAGAATATTCTAATTCTTTAGTGTCAGGGGGGAAAATCCAGGCATGAATATTTTAAATGCTCATAAGGTGATTCTCTTTGTATTGTTAATATTAAGAATTCCTTTAACACTCTCAAGCAATGATACTTGAGTGTTTATAATAATTGCTTTAACAAAAGCAATAAAAATAGAATCCTAATTAATTAGTACTTATATAACTTGAAGCCTCCACAAAAATTTATCCAGTGATAAATTTTAAGAGATTACACCAATTTGTCCTACCCAAGGTTTAACACATTTGACAATGTCCCATCTTTATTCACATAGTGAAGTTAAATTTCCATCTATCTCTTCATCCCTCAAGTATATACAAGTGGGTAGAACTCTGAGCATATTGGGAGGTAACAGTTCAGATAGGTATACTCAAAGTTCACTTTGAGATGAACCCTCAAAAAGAAAAGAACTCAGACTCAGTGGATTTTAGGATCATACTACTTTTCTAACTTTTATGTAATTTTGCCACGATACAGGTTGCAAGTGACATTTCATTCTAAAATGGTTAATCAGTATTCAAATAACACTGGAAGTTGCTAAAGAATAAGTGAATAAAAGTTCTTCAATAAAAACCTATTCAATTTTATGTAACATTAGAATGAATTCTTTTCTATCTAGAACATTTTCAATATACTCATAATATAATCTAAACAAAAAAAAATCACTTACTTCAAGAAATCAAAATTGTGAAGGGTATCATTCCAGAAATATTTTACACTATGGTGGGTAAAGTAACGAATCTGTAAAACACATAAATGTTACATCAAAAAGCATTATCACCTGTTTTCAATTACGTTTACTAACACAAATCTATCATCTAACAACATATTAAAAAGTGATCACATGTGACATGTAAATGTAATGTTTCTTTTAATTAATACCTGAACTGTTACAATACAGTGATAAACAGGCATTTTATATGCATATACATTTATCTCAAAAATAACTGCAAACACAAAATTATAGACTATCCATGATAGCATAACATGTAACAATTCTGATTTTTAAAGAAACCATGAAACTAAGATTACAGTACCTGTTCTGATTGTGTCTGTGAATATTTATTTATCTCATGCCTGTTCTCTTCGGCCAAATTTTCAGTTAAAAGAACAGCATGGCCATTTGAAACCTTATTAGCCACAGATTTTGGACTCGAAAATGGATGAGTTTTCAGAGAAAGCAAGCGAATTTTTGCACAAAACCACGTTTTGAATTCATCCTTACAAGAGAGAAAGGTAAAGAGTCAATTATGTATATTATACAACTGTCTACATTTTTATTTGATTTCCATTCTTTACAATATTATTTACTCATCTCTAATTGAGAAAGCATCACTTCCTACTGACTTAACCATTTCATAAAGATGCATAAATTCAAATGTGAAGTGCTTTCCACTGCTTACCATTTAAATGGCATACTTCACTAACACAATATCCCATAAAAGTTCATGAATACTTTCTTAATTTACCCAACATACTCAGACTAGATATTAATGCATCTTATAAAATACTTCCAGGTAGGATCATTAAAAAACAAATAAACACAACACCCTGAGATGTAACAGCATCACATAGTAGAAGCAACTGGTTTGGTGAATGACAGATCCTATAGTTCTAACTGTCCAGTGACCTTGAAGGACAGCATATAATCTCTCAGTGCATCAAGAGCTTAAAAGGAAGGGTAGGATTTGATCATCTTTAAGATTCTTTATACTAATTGCTCTGATAATATTCACTTCAAACACAGGTGCTTTAGAAATAGTAGGATTAGTATTCCTCATTATATCTTACAGTGATGTTCTCCTCATATATTATTTTGAACAAAGTACACACAAAGACATTCTTTTACTCCTCAAATAATCAGCTACAGTACAAGTAAATCCATGGACTTACAGTAGTCCTCAGCAGCACCACTTCACAGTCTTTAATTGCAGTTCTAATACAGGTTGCCTTCACCCGCCACTCAGGCATCCAATAGAGGAGGAGCAGGAGAAAGCCACCGGTGCAAACCACTCCTAGAGAAACTATGGCAAGCTTCCAGCGACATAAATTATAGCCATAAATTTCCTGCATGGATATAGTAATCATGATTAATCATCAAATGATATGAAAGATAAATTCCAAAGTTCTTTGTTTTCCAGATGGTTATTGTCTTGTCAGATAAACTACAAATATTTTCCCAACCCATAATTTATCTTTAAATTTTGTTTCTGAGAAGCTCATTGTCAAAGGTATATTTTTTAAGTGCAAAATCTTTTGATATTTACACATTACATTCTACATTTGATGTTATCATCCTATATAATAAAAGGTTAATATGCAAATCAACCTAACAGTGGAACCAGTCGTTATGATGTACACTGACCACCAAGGGGCAGATGCTCAATGCAGGAGCTGCCCCCTGGTGGTCAGTGCACTCCCACTGAGCAAGAAGCCGGGTTCACGGCTAATGAGCGCAGCAGCAGTGGTGGGAGCCTCTCCCGCATCTGCAGCAGAGCTAAGGATGTCTGATGGCACTAAGCCGTCAGTCAGACATCCCCCAAGGGCTCACAGACTGCGAGAGGGTACAGGCCAGACTGAGGGACGCCACCCGCCCCTCCGCTCAGTGCACCAGGCCTCTAGTTAGTAACATAATACTTTTCCACTGATATAGTATATTTACATTTAATATACATTCCTAGAACTTTTATAATTCCATTTTTATATTTATCTTTTGAATTCTTCTAGAACTTTTCTTGTTATAAGATAAGATTAGCCCAGCCAGCATGGCTCAGTGGTTGAGCATCGACCTATGAACCAGGTGGTCACGGTTCAATTCTTGGTCAGGGCACATGTGCAGACTTGATCCCCAGTAGGGAGGTGTGCAAGAGGCAGCCGATCAATGATTCTCTCTTATCATTGATGTTTCTATCTCTCTCTCCTTCTCCCTTCCTCTCTGAAATCAATAAAAATACTAGTATATATTAAAAGAATAAAAAGTATTAACACTGTATATTATATTAAGTAAATCCTGTCTTTATTAGAATTTCACTGTCTTTTTTTTGTTTAAGGATATAATTTAGAATATCATGTTGCATTTAGTTAAGTTTTAACTTTATTTTTTTTCCAAATCTTTAACTAATTGTCCCAATACTACTGTTACTGATCAATCTGACCTTCTGACCCAAATTATTCAAATTGTTTCAGTTACCCTAACAAGGGCTGCCAAATTTAGCAAATGAAAATGCAAAGGCCTATTTAAATTCAAATTTCAGATAAAAAAACAAGTAATTTTTTGTTGCCCTCGCAATATTAGGGACATGCTTCTACTAAAAATGTATTCCTTGATTATCTGAAATCCACATTTAATATTTAACAGGGAGTCTTATACAGGGTAGAGCAAAAGTAGGTTTACAGTTATAAGTACTCAAAACAGTTTATTCTTGTATTATTATTTATTGATGAACGCATTATTTTCCATATAACAATTGTAAACCTACTCTTTCCCTACCTTCTTTTTATCTGACAACTCTATCTCCTTCCATCAGCCACACACAGAAGAGTTGAAAAGTGTGTTTTTTAAATTAAGCTGATTTTCAACATTTTATAAATCAAAATTAGAAATCTTGGATTTGGAATTATATTTTAAGCATTAGCTAACATAACTTCTCAAATTACCAAATGAAAAAACATACTTCTTTCCTCTAGGTTTTAACAGTTCAGAAGTGAAATAGGAATTATTCTAAAACAAATAGAAATGCTACATAATCCCAATTAAAAAACACAGTCAGGATGAGGAAAACACATTGACTTAGCTGTGTTTTGTTTTTTTAATTTACTTTTCTACTTCCCTAGCACAATAAATTGCAGAGATAAATTCTTCACACTTTATAAGTAAATAATAAATACTGGTTACCATTTCATCTTCTTGACCCTGATTGATAGTCTTCCTTTCTTCTTTGTCCATATCTACAGTGATTTAAAAGGTCTTGTACTTCAGAACAGCTGAAGACAACTGAGAGATGAGAGGAACAAATGTTAGGAAATTATTATTTATCCTAGTATACTATATAACTTCATATTATTACATTTCTTGTTGTGACATATGTATCAATGTTTAACTGGTACTTAAGTAACCACTACAGTGCTAGCTGGTTCTAATGACATTTTCAATGGTGTGCCAGTTCTTGCACCTGCATTACTTACAATCACAAAACGTGGCATATTCCATTAATGAATTTGTAGTAGCAACAGCCCTGCTACAAAACAATTTAAATTCTGGGAGAAAATACTACAGAATCTTCCCTTTCATTCTCCAGACTCAGAGACGTAACCTAGTTGTGCCGTAAAAGTGCTTCACACAACTCAATTTATTGCTTGAAGTATAGTGAAGAGGTAAAGCACCAGTAGTGAAACCACCCCAAAACCTCTTAGGGATTAAAGTATCATCCAACAAATGTTTACTAAGCAAGCATCTATTACATGAATGACATTCCCTGGCCACTAGTCAATCCCTATGGCATGTGTACCACTATTGGAGGTCACTCAACTGATTCGCCCGTTCTCATTCCAAAGTCCACTAAGCAATCTTATGACTATTTCTGACTACTCATGATGCTTGTCTAGGAGAAAATTCATTGAGCTCATCAACAAAGTTTTTTCCCCTGTATTAAAAAAAATGAGATTAATTATAAACAGACATTCGGCCACACATTAAAGAGATTTGCAAATTGTAGAACAATGCCTATTTTCTCATGATTTTTTTTGGTTATGGCAAATATTTTTCAGAAAAATGTTACTTAATATGTAATAAATGTATTATTGTCACATCTTATTAAACTAATATTCTCAAATCTATATCAGTTTTAACTAACATGGTATCAACAGATACAATGCACATAAACAAAAGCTTTTTAGAGTTCACAATAAACATTAAAGCAGTGGTTCTCAACCTTCCTAATGCCGCGACCCTTTAATACAGTTCCTTATGTTGTGGTGGCCCCCAACCATAAAATTATTTTCATTGCTACTTCATAACTGTAATTTTGCTACTGTTATGAATCATAATGTAAATATCTGATATGCAGGATGTATTTTCATTGTTACAAATTGAACATAATTAAAGCATAGTGATTAATCACAAAAACAATATGTAATTATATATGTGTTTTCCGATGGTCTTAGGCAACCTCTGTGAAAGGGTCGTTCGAGCCCCAAAGGGGTCGCGACCCACAGGTTGAGAACCGCTGCATTAAAGGTTACCAGTCTGAGCCCAAAGCCTTGGAGAGCCACTGCTTTAGACTAGGCGGATGTCTGCAGAACAGCCAATAGGTAATATAACCTCTCAGTCCCAATGCTATGTTTCTACCTCATCTAGCCAGTGTGTAGTACAGGCCTGATCCATGGTAGACACTCAAAAATTACTTGTTGAGTGAATAACACTTGTTGTGCTAAGATAGCATTAGCTGTTAAATGTTTATAAATGTTAGGAAATTATTTTTCCTAGTAGACTATATAACTTCATATTATCACATTTCTTGTGATACATGTATCAATGTTTAACTGGTACTTAAGTAATCAAGTAAAATAGCCAAGTAAAACCAACTGCAGCATTTTAAACTAATCCCATATATGACTACTGAAATCACAACAAAATGACCAATGAAAATATTGATGCCTCCTATACCAGCACCCAGCACTTGTCTACCTACTGGTAGCCCTGGAGATGGGGTCAGAGCTAAGTAGAGCCAGGACTTTCTATAGAAATAAAAGGCAGAATTTTAAGACAGACAGAGATAGATAGATAGATAGATAGATAGATAGATAGATGACTTAGTGCCATCTTGGAAAAGAAACTTTAGAAGTATCTGGTCCAACTTCTCCAAAAGAAGCCATATTATACAAAAAAAAAAAAAATAACTTTGGGAAATTTAGTAGCAAGTTATTTTTAGTCTAGGGCAGTATTACAGCCACGAAGCATGTTACTACCATGTTAAGACTAATCCATCAAATCAATATTATATGAGGAACCTGCTGCTATGGACTATAGGGAGAATGAACTAGCCCAACCTCTTCCCTGTACAAAAGGTCAGCAGCTGTTACCTGAACATGGAAGAGATAGACCAATCTTGCAAGATTTAAATGTGCACATGCCCACTTTCAAAGGTTAAGACAAAGGCATCTACCCTGATGCTGTTCCCACAAAAAAAATACCAGCCTCAGGTTCTTAACTATAGTCCATGGTTCTTCCATAAGTTCTGGACTGAATCTCAGGATCATCATTCAGGATTCATCAAACTCATTTTTTATAATTAACTAGAGGCCGGGTACATGGATTCATGCACCGGTGGGGTCCCTCGGCCTGGCCTCCGCCCTCTCACAATCCGGGACACCACCAATGCATGGTTGGGGCTGGGGAGGGACCGTGGGAGGGCTCCAGGGTGTGTTCAGCCCATTTCAGGGGCTGATCGGGCCAGGGAGGGACTGCAGGAGGTTGGCCGTCTGGGAGGGACTGTGGGAGGGCTACAGGGCATATCTGGCCCATCTTGCCCAGTCCTGATCTGGTGGACCCCGGCAGCAAGCTAACCTACCGGTTGGAGTGTCTGCCCCCTGGTGGTCAGTGCACATAATAGCTACTGGTCATTCGGTTGAACAGTCACTTAAGCTTTTATATATATACTAGAGGCCCGGTGCACAAAAATTTGTGCACTCGGGGGGGAGGGGGGGTCCCTCAGCCCGGCCTGTGCCCTCTCGCAGTCTGGGACCCCTCGGGAGATAATGACCTGCTGGCTTAGGCCTGCTCCCGGGTGGCAGAGGGCAGGCCCAATCCCTAGGTGCAGCCCCTGGTCAGGCTCAGAGCAGGGCCGATTGGGGAGTTGGGGCGCCGCCCCCTGTCATGCACAGACCTGTCATGCACAGAGCAGGGCGGATTGGGAGGTTGCGATGCCACCCCTAGTCATGCTCAGGGTAGGGCCGACTGGAGGGTTGGGGCACTGCCCCGTCACACTCAAGGCAGGGTCAATAGGGAGGTTGCGGCGCCACCCCGTCACGCACAGAGCAGGGCGGATAGGGAGGTTGTGGCCCCGCCCCCTGTCACACACAGAGCCGCAGGGTGATCAGGGGGTTTGGTTGCTGCCCCCTGTCACGCTGATCCCGGTGCTGGGAGGCCTTGCTGCTCCGCTGATCCCGGTGCTGGGAGGCATATTACCCTTTTACTATATAGGATAGAAGCCTGGTGCACGGGTAGGGGCCAGCTGGTTTGCCCTGAAGGGTGTCCTGGATCAGGGTGGGGGTCCCCATTGGGGTGCCTGGCCAGCCTGGGTGAAGGGATGATGGCTGTTTGCATCTGGTCACACCCCCTTCAGGGTGGGGGTCCCCACTGGGGTGCCTGGCCAGTCTGGGTGAGGGGCTGAGGGCCGTTTTCAGGCTGGCGGGTGACTGAAGCTCCCAACCGCTCCTTTTTTTCTTTTTTTTTAATTCTGAGCCAGCTTTAGCTCTGAGGCTTGGCTCCAGCTATGAGACCTCCGCTGCTGAAAGCAGGTTTCTGGCCTTTGTTTACCTTCTGTATTTGAAACAATGTTGCGGTCCTGCTGGCTGAAGCCCAGGGTTTTGTTTAGCTTCTATATTTGTTACAATGTTGCTTAGAGAGCAGCTGAGAGGCCGGCAAGGCAGGCGGGAAACCTGGCTTCCTCTGTCACTGAAGCAAGCAAGCCTCCCAGTTCGCGTCAGCTGCCTGGCTGCTGGCTGCCATCTTGGTTGGCAGTTAATTTGCATATCTCCCTGATTAGCCAATGGGAAGGGTAGCGGCCGTACGGCTAATTACCATGTTTCTCTTTTATTAGGATATAGATTACATATAATTCTGATCCCATTTTCCACCACCACCACCTAAAATATGTTTTCTAACGAAAAAATAAATAAAATAAAATATGTTTCTTGAGGGGAGAAACTATGTTGAGACTTCTGCTTCCAACCAAGATGAAAAAACAGAGACCAGATTTGCCTTCCCATCTAAAACAACAACAAAATGGACAAAATATATAAAACAAGTTTTCAAGAAAATGGACACCAGGTAATGAAAGAAACTGATACAGAGATAGGAAGGAAACTAGATGAGCTTTGCAATTATCCCAGTTTGCAATCTAAAGAGTCTACAGCAAACACATCAAACTCGTGCCAGCGGGCCGGGAGTTTGACATGTTTGGTCTACAGTCTGCAAAAAAAGGGAAGGCAGGGAACCCAGGGGGAGTAGAGCAGTCTCTCTGATTTGGGGAGATGAAGCTGGGTGTCTGGGGAGGCAACAAAGTGACCAGGTTTGCAGGGCAGATCTGCACAGAGAAAGGACACTGAAAATCTGCAAGATGATCCCTATCCCTCTCACGTCTTCCACCAAGTACTGATCAGCACTTATGTGTGAGGCAAAAATACCAGAAGCTAGGGAAAGAACCACCCAAAACCAATAACCATCAGGGCTCATACAAAGCTGGGCAGAGTGCCTATTCCGACCAACTACAGTGAAAAACCTCATTAGTCACAAACAATCAGGGAGAGTATTCAGAAGGGTTTTGCTTCAGTAATAGTACCCAATTAGCCCCAAACTAAAAGCTACTCTGGTGGTCCTGACTAACAAAGCTTTTGAGACTTGAAAGAATAAAATTGTTTCTAAGTAACTTAACTGCTTCACATAATAAAGTTCAAGGAGATTTTTAGAAATACAAAATGTCTAGTCCCAATAAGTCACAATGTCTGACATCCAAATTAAACTTAACAGGCATGAAAGAAGAAAAAAAATACAACCCATAATGAGAAAAATCAATCAATAGAAAAGGACCCAGAACTGATAATAGAATATAATCGGTTGACAAGGACATTAAAACAACTGCTATAACTGTAGACTAAATGTTTAAAAACCAACAGGAAAGACTGAACATGTTAAGCAGAGACATATGAAGAAAAAAATCAAATTGAACATAATATAAAAAGTACATCTCAGATGAAAAAAATATGAAGATGAAC